GCTACGCGGAAAATATCTGATATTGGTATTTTCGAGTTCAGGATAATCGTATCTATCGATTTGAGGCGGTTTTGACCGTATTGCTATGAGACAAAAATTTTGGTCGTCATTTCTCTAACTATTATTTTACGGTTATTAAGGGATTATGTGTAATAGTTATGTTGATGAAGGTACTAATAGTTTTTAAGTTTACTTGTAATGTGTAACTGCATTTATTGTAAATTATTATGTTTTCAGTTTACTCACGTAATTATTTGACGAGGAACTCGACTAGTTTCAAGCCATGCTAGAGGCTCATATTAATAAGCAGTATTTCGCGACCTGCGACGCGCCGGCTGTCGCGCTGCTACTGCATATATATATTTCAATATAAATAAATAATCTTACCGACCGTTGGTAAACATGTACTTGGTCTATAATTTTTGGGTTCAGTAGAGCTGTCTGATTTATAGAACAGATGGGTAGCAGCCTGCAGTCTGTTGTCAGAAGCAGAGGCAATGATCCAGCCTCCAAAGTTGCCTGGAACTGCGATGCTTAGCCGGTGTGTAAACTGCAGCTGTAGCCAAATGCCATTCAGCGCTTGTCTACATGTAGAATAAAAAACCAATTTATATGGGATTGATGTAAGTTTTGACACTTGTCAGTGTCATCCCCATACATTTAGTTTCCTACTCTCTGTAGACAAGCGCTAATGTGTCGTTTGGCTAAAGGCACTGGTGTAGGTACCGTTGTTGTAGTGATATATTGATCCTACTAATGTTATAAATTCAAAAGTTTGTATGTTAGTGTGTTTGTTTCTCCTTCACGTCAAAATAGCTGAAGGGATCGAGATGAAATTTGAAACAGGGGTCTGGTCATGGTCTGGAAGAACATATAGGATCCTTTTTATCATTATTTAGGCTGCCAAATAGGCACTCCTGTAAGGATTGCTTCATGTCCAGCCCATTGATGCCTAATCCTTCTTCGATACCCATCCACACCCAGGTACTTGTATGTATCGTTTATTTTATTTTATTTTGTTTATTTGGAAACTCAACAGCTTAGTAATATGAGTTGGTAATACACATCACTCTATCAATACACAGCCTTATAATAATAATAATAATCTTTATTTCAGGTACAATAACATTAACCAATATAAATTTTACACAAGAAATAGGCACATAATAATAAATAGAAACAGTTTAATAAACAGCAGTATGCAGACTCATCCAATGCTGAGTTAATTTGGAGTCCCATCTGTCTGTGAGTACGTTCAGGATACTGTTGGGACTGGAACGTACACGCCCCCATAGCGAGGCGGATCTTTTTCTTAAAACAGCGAAAAAGCCGTCTGTGTGCGCTTCCGTAAACATTCCTGAGGCACTACAAAAACGCGGCAGACCCAGCAATACCCTGAACGCATTATTGTATTGGACACGCAAAGCACTGAGTGTCCGCCGCGTATAGTCGACCCACAGCGCGCACGAATACAGTGTCTGGCAATAAGCTTTAAAAAGCGTAACCTTGACCGAAACACTGCAACGCGCGAACCTGCGAGCCAACATATTGCACCGGACAGCCAGCGCCCTGCGCTCCCTCTCCATATCCTTATAGTCACTGAGATTATCCGCGTCATTTTCTAGGAGGTAACTCGGCTATCGATTCTGAGTCCGAATCAATAATTGTAGGTAAAAATTTTTCATTTTTCTGTAAATTACGGAAATCCGTAAGTGTGAACTACACGCCGCCGTCTTGTAACTAGTTTTATAACGCGGCTTAACACACACAAACTCAAACACGTAATTGATATTATTCCTAATTCCATAAAACTCCAATAAGAAACATTGCTGTCGCTTATTATGAAATACTGTCGAACTTAAACGATTTATTATAGCCGTATTTTTAACTATTGGCCCGAAACTTTCTTTTACATTGAACGTATATGACTTCTGTGACATGTCCCCGAGAAAATCACGGTTTCAAAACTACACCTTGTATACTAGCTTGGAAAAATGAGATCGACACACGCTGCACAGTGATACCGAGATGATGACAATTATCACTTAAGCCAATTACAGAGTTTCACGACATTGGTAAGACTAGTTCAACTATAAAGTAATGTAAGGGAAGATTAAAAGGTAACACAACACAATACAATAATCACATCAGTTCAATGTAACAAAAATACAAAATTTGTTTCGAGAGTGATCTCAGCTTTGTGAAATCTGAGAGTTCTAGGCCCTCAGATTCCACAATCCCTCCTCGCTTTACATGCATGACCGTACACTTGTCCATTCTGATGGAACTACTAAATTTTTCAGTTGTTTTCGGTAGTTCCATCATTTGTTTCTTGTTTGGAGCAAACAACTTGAGGTTATCCATGTAAAGCAAGTAGGATAAAACTAGACCCTTATCCTCTAGTAGAATACAAGTAAAAACTAGAATCCTCTAGTAAAGTTCTAGTTCTTCTTGTCTCTTCACATCAAAATGGCTGAAAGGATCGAGATCAAATTTGGAGCAGGGTTTGATCATGGTCTAGAATAACAAATATGATGTTTTTTTTTTAAGTGGAGATAGTTAACTCGTCGAGTACCGGTTTCGTAGACACAATTATAGAACAATAGGTTGCGGTCACCGGTGACCGCTTGGTGTTTGACAGTTTAAATAAAGGGATGGACAGTGACATGGGCTATTTACCGCGGTGCGGGTGAGCTAGTAACAAATAAAATACTTTGTATCCCACTGAAAGCGGACAAATCCGCTGGGAGAAACTAGTGTTAAATATTTAGTTATTATTGCGCTTCAGGAACACTTTTCCATCTATCTTTATTCCAAACGTTTCTATAATTCATATAATATCACGCCTTTCTTCCCCGAAGGGGTAGGCAGAGGACATTACGGCACTTAACGCCACTGTACAATGTAACACCCACTTTTCACTATTTATGTTATGAGTCCCATGTAATAGGGGGTGAGCCTATTGCCATATACCGGGCACTATTGCAGACTCCGTGTTACTACTGAGATTGTTTTAAAAACCCATTAATTTTGCCCGACCCGGGAATCGAACCCGAAACCCCTTGCCCAGCAGTCGCACTTGCGATCACTCGGCCAATGAAGCAGTTCTACAATTCACATGTAAATAAAAAACACAATTACAATACTAAATTATAAATTACTTTAATTATTCTAATAACATCATATTCACACAATTTTAATACAAAAATATTATAAATGTATGTTTGTTTGTCACTCTTTCACGCACAGATATAATAAAGAAGGAGATATGGTGTGGAGCCAAAAATGTATGCAAAACCCGTGAAGCCACAACTGCCCCTCCATAAATCTAATATTACACACACAGCTCTGACAAAACAATACTACGAATAAGTGCACACACGCGGCATCGATAACTCAGTAATTCAAATATAAGCCCTATTCTTTAAACGACAGCGCACATTCTCCTATAATTTACTCACACTAAAACAATTTGTCACTGTGTGTTAGGAGCGTCGCCGTAGTGACTTGACGATATCGATAGCTCCCGATGAATATATCGATAAATTTATTACAAAACTTTTGGAAATAAAGTAATAACGACATGAAACCAACAAAATGTAATTTAATTATTAAAAAATATTTTATATCAAAAATAGTTACAAATCAAACGACAAGTTGTATGTAGTTATAATGATATAATTTGAATAAGGAGGTATCGCATTCTTGGTTAATTAATAAAGTTTTAATGTTGTATATTTTTTCATGACTGCTTTTATTAATAATATTATGTGGTTATTCATTGGGGACTGCTCTGTGAGTACAACATTATGACTATGCGATGCTGATCATTATATTGCATACAAAGATAATGGTTCATTTATGAAGATTAAAATAAAATACTATAACCATAACAAGTGAACAAATATAACTATTTGCAGTCGACTTTCTTCTCGATAGACTTTAATAAATCTCCACGACCACATCACTATCTCGCTCAAATAAGGCGGACTTGAGCAGCGGACGCACCATGTGACATCGCGTCTTGATGAGCGTTTCGTTAAGTTACTTTTACATTGCTGGTTTAGTTACTCAGTGTCACACTAAGGTGGTTGTAAAAAAGTAATGTATTAACTCGTCGAGTACCGTCATTATAGACACAATTATAGAATAATAGGTTGCGGTCACCGGTGACCGCTTGGTGTTTGACAGTTTACTGTAGACACAATACAGTCGGAGGCATATAGAAAAATAAAAATAAAGTAATAACTTGTTGTTTTTCGTGATTTTTAACTTTTAAATATTGTAAATATTTGTTCTTACACATGGTAACCGATGCCATGACTTCTGCAGTTTTTGTTTTGGCTTATATATCTGCATGAAACCACTGCATAAGACGGTATTTTATCGTTTGTTGTACGATCGCGGGTGACAACAGACTAACTCGCGGTGACGGCCATATTTTCCTACATTGAGCCGAACGCTCAAGTGCGAGCGTAACCGACACGCCCCCTTGCCAGTTCTCCTTTTTTAATATTTCTGTTTTCACGTCAAAACGGCTGAAGGGATCGTAATGAAATTTGGAACAAAGGTAGGTTGTGGTTTGGAAAACAACATGGAACACTTTTTATCTCACGAATATGCGAGCGAAGCCGCCTGGGAGTGTGAACGCACACGGTAGTTCTTCTCTCATAGTTTATGTTTTATATATATCTCTTATATTTCCGAACCGATACGACCTTCAAACCTTCAAGAAAAGAGCGTATTCCTTTTTAAAAGGCCGGCAACACACCTGTGACTCTTCTGGTATTGCGGGTGTCCATGGCCGGCGCTGATCGCATTTTTATTTTATTTTTTAAGGGGGAAAATCATCGAATGACTGCTCCCGCCTGGGTGAGGCGGGAGGGAGTGTCAGACCCTTACTAACTAAAAACCACCCCATTCCTTCTCCTGCACGTCGAGCCGGAGCCCCGGTTACCCGTTAGGTTCTCGGCGCTGATCGCTTACGATCAGGTGATCCGTCTACTCGTTTGCCTCCTATTCCACAAAAAAAATGTTAAAACATTTCATGTCAATCTTGGCCTTATACTATCTATATTAATATAGGCATTCAGGATTTATGTAATTTTAAGTTTTAGGCGTATCGGGGCCTACATAAAATTCATTTTCCCGACTAACATCACTTATACTATATGGCACATCATAATCCAAGGCCCTTTTGTCCTTATTCCGGTATTTTGCATCAACTGGTCGTGTATCGTATGCATATGCGTAGGCACTATCATTTATAGTTGTCATTGCATTGATATTCTTATAATCTCCTAGATTCTGTTGATCGACTTTGTTGTGCTTTTCGTGTACAGCTTCATAAATTCCAGGTTTGTCAGTGTTTTGTTTATTTAATTTATCATCACGTCTTAGTTTATCGTATGTATCTTTATTATCGTTTAGATTAACAGTTTTGTTAACATTTATGTCTTGGTACACATTCTTACTAGCTGATTTATGTGGTGTTTTGAAATAATCATCTATTTCTGTATAATGATTTTCTGATGGAGCATGACTTTGTCTCAGATTGGGATATTTTGGCATCTTGTTATTATTTCCGTATGAGTAGTTTTCTTGCATAACTCCTTCATCGATTTTTGTGTAGTGGTCATTTTCGTCCCACTGTGGTGGAAAAGGCGGTATTGGACTTACATTTTGATTCGAAATGTTGTCGTAAGGGTTCTGAAATTAAGATTTAGTACATTTATTAAAATCTCAATTCATTATTTAATTTAAAGTCTAAATGAGAGAGGAGAATCGTATCCTTTTTTCCGTTGCCTCACACTAGGATTTTCTCTAGTGTCGTGGGTGAACGAGGCAGTCGCCTGACTCGACTTATAATATTTATATATATTTATGGTATATTCCAACTCAAGAATGGAGCTCGAAGCTCCAAAGTAAGTAGGTTGTATAATATCAAATAAATTACATTTAGATTCTCCAAAATTAAAATAAATGTATATAGCGAAGAACACTTACGTTTAGTAGTCTCGCCATTTTGGCCCTTTTGCGCCAGAAAATGAGGCTGTATATCATGATTGTAATGAAAGCCACACAGACGGCCAAGTAAAGTAGTATTAGTGGTATGGTCTTATCTGCAAATGAAACCACAAATTAATCTAACATAACATCACGCATTTTATCCCCGAAGGGATTGGCAGAGGTACACATTACGGCACTTAATGCCACTGTACAATGTAATTTCATCACTTTTCACTATTTATGTTATGAGTCCCATATAATAGGGGTGAGCCCATTGCCATATAAGGGCACATTTCCAGACTCCGTGCAACTACTGAGATTTTTAAAAACCCGACCTACTTTGCCCGACCCGGGAATCAAACCCGAGACCTCTTGCCTGGCAGTCGCACTAGTGACCATTCGGCCAACGAAGCAGTTTTAAATGTAGATGTACATTATGCACAGTAATTTAAAAATAGCTTGTTTTTGTCTCTGCATCACCCAAAGGTCTGGCTGGAGGAGAATGCCCTAGGCATTAAGCCCGCCTTGTACATTAGTGTGTGCATGAAGTCTTTTAAAATATAAATAAAAAAATTAAAATATGAATCAGTGACGTCATAACGAGAGCACTTCTCTTTGGCATCAATCATTTAATACTTACATGTATTAATATCAGCTTCTAAGTTTTCAGAGTTCGATGTATCTTTCAGTTGTAATTTTACTTGAGCAAAATCTAACTTGTTCGAATTTTTATAAGCAATGCATTTAATGACTTTTTTATCGTAGTTTTCAGTTAATCTTTTTGTGATATTTTCCACTGAATACTTCATGCCACTCAATTTGTCTATGTATCCAAACTTATTTGACGCAACACCTGTAAAAATTATAGAAGAATATTTATGTCAAATATATGTACAACAATATTTCCGTGAAAAGAAAATTTCATTGTTATTGCAATTCGTTCATTAAGACGGGAATGTGGGGGTAGCCTGGAATGTTTTCCGGCAGTGATCTTGATGTGCTCTCTCCGATATCTATTTTGCACCATCGTACGTGCCCAATCGCGCCGCCATCTTGTAAAAATGGCGGCAAAAAACAATTTTTATAGTGTAGTTTTTATAGTGTAGTCCTTTATAGACATAATGCTCAAGTGATTCTGATACACACTTTAAGAACTTGCCATAATCTCCTGCCCTGAGCACTTACTCTTGAAACCAACAAGTTTTAAACAAAATTATTCATTATTAAAACCTAACTAGATACCTAACATTATTGAGCTATTTACAATTTTATTATGGATTATACCAGCTGTGACCATTAACTACTTTATATTTTGTTGTGGGTTTGTGGCACCGACTTCTAACCTATCAGTGGGTGTGTAAGCTATAAGTACGTATGACCACAAATAGTTATTTTTTTCCTTTTTAGTTTTTACTTTTGGTTTGTCATTAGTTTTTCATCGGTCATCGAGTGATCGATCGACTTCCGCTAAGAACAGTCGCGTCGCACACATTCTCGTGCTAGATTATGTTCAAGTGTAGCGCTGACGCAGCAGCCTACCGTTCATTACCTCTAGCCGTGCGCGGTCGCCGCGATGACCCAGTTACCGAAAGTGTTGCACAATTATTTGTATAAACAAAGTGTTAAGGCGAAGTTATTCTAATAATCATGGCTTCGTCATCCTCAATTAAAATCAAAACTGAAACGGAACATCTGTTGTATAAATATTATACCGAAGAAAAGTTAGAACGCGAAAAGTTGCAAAGTTTAGTAAATGACCTCAAAAGCCAATTAGAACAACTACAGCATCAGCTTAAAACCATCCAGGAGCAAAAAACTTCAGACAAGAAAAATGTCACTACCGAGAAGCCAATGCCAATCGAGTATGAGACAGACGAAGAAGAACTAGCAAAGGAAACAGAGTGGGTACGACAGAAGAGCAGAAAAAAAAGGAAATTGAACTCGTCATCACTGTCCTCACCAACTCAACAAGGAGACGATCCTAGCCAGAAAACTAAAGAAGCTAAAATAAAGAAACAGCCCACACCACCACCTATAGTTGTGGAAAATGTCAAGAACTACCAAGAGTTCTACGACCTTCTTTCAACTAATGTAACGAAAGACTCTTTCGTTACGAAAATGATGAATGGAGAAAAAGTTAAAATTAACTCCTATAATGATGACTCATACAGATCCATCACCAAGCTATTGTTACAGAATAATTGCTGTTGGTACTCGTATGAGAATAAACAAGATAGGCCGATCAGGGTGATGGCAAAAAACCTTCATTCTTCCTGCCTGCCAAATAGAATAATTGAAGATCTGACAGCTCAAGGATTTAAAATAGAAGATGCTGTTAACAAACTGAGTTGGAAGAGCAAAGAGCCCCTCAGTATGTTCATGCTCTCATTCCAAAAGGATGAAGACATAAAGAAAATCTACGGAATCAAATCCATACTGGGCTGTAAAGTAGATATACAGCCTTTAAAAACTTCAAAATTAATTCCACAATGCAAAAGGTGTCAAGCATATGGCCACACACAGAAATACTGTTCCAAAGAACCCCGATGTGTGAAGTGTACAGGCAAGCACCTAACCAGAGACTGCAATAAACCTGCAGAAGCAAAACCGAAATGTATTCACTGTGGTGAGCCCCACCCGGCTAACTATAGAGGATGCATAGTAGCTAAAGAGCTACAAAATATTAAAAATAAAAATACCAAAAAGCATGAGCCGATACCAAACTCTCAGGGTCCAAGTATAATCAAACACAAAATACCTAGTGTCACCAACCTTGTCACCAAAAGTGTTTCGTATGCACAAATGGCAAAAGGAGTCCAATCTTTGCCACAATCTCATATGAAACCTATAAACCCTAACATGGATGAAAAGATTAATACTATTATAAATCTTTTAACTACATTCGACGAAAGGCTGAAAAAACTTGAAAGCAGCACTAAAACAGCTGCCAAACAACGAAAAAGCAGTATAAATGGCTAGTTTACTTAGAATTATGGCATGGAACGCAAATGGACTGCTGAAACATCAGAATGAACTTACGGCAGTCCTAAATATGGAAAGAATTGATGTGTGCCTTATATCAGAGTCACATTTCACTAAAGAATCTCATATCCAAATTAAAGGGTATAAAGTATATCATGCACTGCATCCTCATAACACACCAAGAGGTGGTAGTGCTGTCATCATAAAAGAGAATATTTTTCACTACGAAAAACTGAAACATGAAAAAGAAGAAATACAAGCAGTGGCTGTCTGTGTCAAAACAAAATTCTGTCTTATCACCATCTCAGCCATATACTGTCCACCTAGGTATTCACTAAAAACAGATCAGTACATGTCTTTTCTTAACTGTCTTGGAAACAGATTCATATTGGGAGGTGACTTTAATGCTAAAAATACATTTTGGGGATCTCGACTGACAACGACCAAAGGCAGAGAGCTACTGTGCGCCATTGAAGAAACACAAGGTAAAACTTTATCAACAGGCAAGCCCACTTATTGGCCTACTGATACAAAAAAGATTCCTGATCTTATAGACTTTTTTATTTACAAAAATATATCACCTAGTCTTCTTCGCATTGAAGAAGGTTATGATATGAGTTCAGACCACTCACCTATATTACTTACTCTAAGTGAGACTATCTTGCTGAAAGAATACAACCCCACATTGGTAAACAAGAACACTGATTGGGAAAGCTTTAAAATAGATTTGGAGTCTATGATAGATTTAAGAGTCCCACTCAAGAAACCAGAAGATCTGGACTGGGATATCAGTGAGTTTATAACACAAATACAACAATGCGCCTGGAAAAACACGCCCACCTTTAAAATAAAAAATAGAATTACCTACTATCCAGCAGAAATCACAAAACTTATTGCTGAAAAGAGGCGACAGAGACGAATATGGCATCAGACAAGATATCCACAAGATAAAAGAATTCTGAACAACCTTACAAAACAACTAAGTGAAGCAATTCAGAATTACAAAGACGAATCAATGAATAGTTATCTACAACAACTAACCAGCCATCGCACGACAGATTACTCTCTGTGGAAATCTATGAAAAGCTTAAAAAAGCCAATTCTGCACATTCCCCCTATCAAAGATATTAACGAGCGGTGGGCAATAAGCAACGAGCAAAAAGCTATAAGGTTTGCAAAACATCTAGAACTCATTTTTGAGCCAAATGAAGAGCATGAAGATAGCGACTTATTAAATGAAACATCAAATAATGATGAGCAAGAAATAAAATTCGTAACACCTAGAGAAGTGTACAACGAAATCAACCGCCTTAGATTAAAGAAATCACCTGGTTACGATCTTATTACTGCAGAAGTTCTTAAAAACCTCCCACGTAAAGCCATCGTAAAAGTTACGACTCATATCAATGCAACGTTAAGACTTCAGTATGTACCTGATCAGTGGAAAGTTGCCGAAGTTATAATGATACCAAAACCTGGTAAACCACCTCACGAAACAACATCGTATAGGCCGATCTCGCTGCTACCGACAATGTCAAAATTATTTGAAAAGCTTCTTTTAAAAAGACTAAAACCCATCATAGAAGAAAGAAATTTGATCCCTGACTACCAATTTGGTTTTAGGGAAAAACATTCGACTATAGATCAAGTACACAGGATTACCAACATTATTGAAAAGGCTCTAGAAGAAAAAAAAGTTTGCTCCACGATCTTCCTGGATGTAGCGCAAGCATTCGATAAGGTATGGCACAAAGGCCTTATTTACAAATTAAAAAACATGCTCCCTAAGCAATTTGCTGACATCTTAGAGTCTTATCTATCACAGCGTATGTTTAGAGTAAGACATGGTGATGCATATTCAGGACTCAAACCAATAAAAGCTGGAGTACCGCAAGGAAGCGTCCTAGGTCCCGTCTTGTACTTATTGTACACTTGCGATATTCCTGAATTAGAAAACAATACCATTGCCACATTTGCAGACGACACAGCTATTATGGCCATAGGTGCCACTCAAGAAGAAGCAGTGGAAAAAGTTCAAACAGCCGTCAATATCATTTTTGACTGGACAAAAAAATGGCGTGTGAAACTAAATGAATCAAAATCTGTTCACATAGACTTCACAAACAAAAGGACAAATTACCACCCGGTAAACATAAATGGCCATGTAATACCATACGAAAATACAGCCAAATACCTAGGCATGACATTAGACGTAAAGCTTCGCTGGAAAGTTCATGTCAAAAAGAAACGCGACGAGCTAGATCTACGCTACAAGTCGATGTACTGGCTGATAGGAAAAAATTCTTCGCTGTCAGTGCACAACAAAGTTCTTTTATATAAACAAGTCCTCATGCCTGTATGGACTTATGGTATTCAGCTTTGGGGCTGTACCAAACAAAGCAATATCAAAATTATACAGCGTTTTCAAAACAAAGTACTCAGAGGAATCGTCAATGCGCCCTGGTACATTCGAAATGACGACCTTCATCGGGACCTCAAAGTAGACCTCGTCATAGATATAATTAAAAAGTGTGCAGAAGCCCATGAGCGAAGGCTTCACCACCATGTGAACATCGAGGCTATCCAGCTCCTCGACAACACGGACATAGTGAGAAGGCTAAAAAGGACAAAACCTTTTGAGTTAACATAGTGAAGTGTTAGTGTAAAGTAGTGAGTGCTACCGGCAAAGAACACAATAACAAAGTGTCTTCCCCTTAATAGAGACAATAAGAAAAGTGTTAATGGACACATTCTTAGTTATACTTTCCTAGCAAATTAAGACAAAATAGAATTACTTATTAGCATTAAAGCTAGATTGTAATTTTTTTTATGATGTTACCGCATGAGGTCACATCATATAAAAAAAAAAAAAAAAAAAAAAAAATTAGTTTTTGAAGTCGGTTTTTTTAAACGCAGTTTTTTAATTTTATTTTATACTTTTTAGTTTAGTACTTTGATATATTATATTATAGGTACACAACCCACATAGATGCAAAGTTTTCATCAATACAAATTATTCAAGTTCAAACACCGGGTGGGTACTCTTAATCATTGAGGAGTCCCTTAGCTATCATACTACTTCATCATTGGACCTTTAATGACCATCCCCCCCCCCCCCATATCTAGGTGTAAAGTCCTCATCAATACAAATTAAGAAAGAAGAAAGAGAAAGAAAGAAAAATAATTTATTCGCCATGGACATATACCTCTACATGGACCACCGAAAATTAACATACAACATAAACATTAAAACACAAAAATAAATAGAAAACAAAAATAAAAAACATAAAATAACAAAAAAAAAAACAATGAAGGCAAAAAAAACATTATAAAAAAAAAACAAAAGGGCTCGCCAACTCAGTCTAAGCTGGGCACAGTAAGTACCCAACACTGATTTTCAGTTGGCACCCCTGCAGTGACGCACGGACGGAAGCAACGAAAAATTATTTAATGCAAAGAGTATAATAAGTATAGGGGTTATTTAAAGGAAAATAATATAAATACAAAAGACACATGTTAAAACAATAAACGAAAAGGAAGAAATTTAAACACAGACCTCTATTTTTTTATTTATAAATAAAATAAAAAATAAATAAATAAATATATATCACGACAATTAGAATAGTGTGGGTAGGTTGTGGTCGTGAAGCTATCGCGTAGCCCGACACTTATTGCGAGAAGTTAAAGCGAGCAGGTCGACACTTCGCCAGCACTGACGCAACAACAAGGGGCTCGAGGGTGAGTTTGTGAGATCCTACGTTACATTAATAGAATTAATCAAACCCAAACACAAAATAGCTACTGTTAACCGTTAAGGAGTTCCCTGAACTATCGCACTACTTCATCATCAGACCCTTATTGACAATTACACCCCACCTAGGTGTAAAGTCCTCATCAATACAAATTAATCAAACCCAAACACAAGGTAGCTACTGTTAACCGTTAAGGAGTTCCCTCAACTATCGTACTACTTCATCATCAGACCCTTATTGACAATAACACCATACTCAGGTGTAAAGTCCTCATCAATACAAATTAATCGAACCCAAACCGAAGGTAGCTACTGTTAACCGTTAAGGAGTTCCCTCAACTATCGGACTACTTCATCATCAGACCCTTATTGACAATTACACCATACTCAAGTGTAAAGTCCTCATCAATACAAATTAATCAAACTCAAACCCAAGGTAGCTACTGTTAACAGTTGAGGAGTTCCCTCAACTGGCTCTCGGCTCCATCATCAGATCGGCTCCAGACTTTTATCACATTGTAGTGGTTTTCAATACTTAATGCAAAAATTAACAAATGCCCTAGTCACCCCTATAATTTTTAAAAGTTCCCCTCGGTTTCCCTGGTCTTCCCTCATCAGATCCTGATTTCCTAATCATGGGACCATTTTGGAACTAACTTCTTTCTAACAAAAAAATAATTTCCAAATTCGGTTCATAAACAACGGAGATATCGGCGAACAAACGTAAAAAAAAGTATATATACGGTCGAATTGAGAACCTCCTCCTTTTTTGAAGTCGGTTAATAAAATCTCAATCATTATTCAATGTCAACGCTATACCCTATACAACCACAATCGTAGCTGTTTAAATAGCATTCAGAGTACGGAATATAAAGCCAAACTCAATACCATTTAGTTCATTAAATATCCACGCCATACAGATGCAATGGGCGCTAGTGTTGTAACTCAAGAGTACGAAATTTCACAATACCAATATCGATCGATCGAAATTGGATTCAAGATTAAGCCCCCTGAGCTGTTTTTGATCATTCGCACTTAAGAGATTTTGTCTTGGGCAACTATATTTATGTGATATAGGCTATAGGCAAAACATCATACTACAATCATAAGAACCCGAGCAGAGTAATCGCGGGAGTAGCTACTAAAGGATAGTACACATTGCATTCTTCATTCAAAAAAAATTTTTTTAATTGGAAAGCTACTCAATTTGTACAAATTGTACTTAAATATCGTGCCGTCTCTGTCGTTTTAAATAGAATTTGTAGAGACAGAACTTTTCTTAAGCGTGGTGGTTGTGGTGGCCCGGAGATTTAAGACGCCCGCTTCTCATGCATGAGAGTGCGGATTCGAAACCTACCAACGGCAAGTACCAATATGACTTCTTCCGAGTTATATGTACTTTCTAAGATTATCTAGACATACGGTGAAGGAAAACATCGCGAGGCAACCTCGGGCTTATAATTTTTATTTATAAGTTTGTTATAAGTTACATTAATCACCAACCCGCATTGAGCAAGTGTGGTGATTAATGTTCAAACCTTCCCCGTGTGAGAAGAACCTTTAGTCAGCAGTGGGCATTTATAGGCTCTTGATGATGATAATGATAATTGAGTGGCGATTGAGTTTTTGGACATTAATTACTTACCATTAACAGTCCATTCAAATTTATAATTTTCTTCGGGCAAAATATTCAGAACACATCCCAAGCTTATAATTTCGTCTACCGAGTATTGGTAGACGGTTGTCCAGATGTTACCGCGGAGGTATTCATACAGAATATTGGGTCTGTGCAGACCGAACACACGTACCGTGCGATCTGAAAATAGAAATGAAGAAGACGTAAGCAGAGCGTTAACTAGAAAGAAAGGGAGAAAAAGCATTCACTCGACAGTAGGCACGCACACAGATACAAAAAAAAGATATTATACTATTAGAAAGTGTGGGAGAGCCATGTTTCGGCACGAATGGGCCGGCTCGACCAGAGTGATGCCACGGCCTCACAGAAAACCGATGTGAAGCAACGCTTGCGTTGTGTTTCGTCGTGTGAGTGAGGTTACCGGAGGCCCAATTACCCTCCCCTTCCCCAATCTCCACAATCCCCAACAATCCTCAAACTCCTAATCCCCAAAATGCCGGTAACGCACTTGTAACGTCTCTGGTGTCCCAGGTGTCCATCCGTCTGCTCGTTTACCGGTTTATGCCATAAAAAAATAATAAAGGAAATAGGTGGAATCTTATGTTTTAAGAAAAAAAATGCACAGGCAAACTATAAGAAAAATGTACCTTATTGGAACGATAAGATAATCGTGACAAAGGTATTCAACCTCAAATTAACTCGTCGAGTACCGGTTTTGTAGACACAATTATAGAACAATAGGTTGCGGTCACTGGTGACCGCTTGGTGTTTGACAGTTTAACAATCTAACAAAGAAATAATGGTTGCCAAGACTAGCGAATTGGCGGTCTTTTTTTTAAATGGGACAAGCCCGCCACAACCTCCCGAAACCGCTGAAACTCCTGTAAGCCAGGATCTACAGTAGGTATAACCATGAGAACTCCGGAACACTGAAGTCCGGCGCGTCCCAGAGACTTATATAACTGTCTTGGTTCCCGCAACGATGTGAATCAGAAGATATTATAAGACGAGAAGAAAAACCGATAGTTTCCACTATTCCTCGGTGAATTACTGTATTGCCTTTCTTTCTTTCTTTACTGAAACAAAGAGTTTCCTTTTTCTTGTATAGAAGCACTATTGTTATGGATTGTCAGTATGCATATGTGAGCACCATGTTAGACTATAAGATTTATTTAATTTTTATTATTTTAGTAAGGTTTGTAATCAGTACCTATAATGCGTCAAGCGTGTCTTTGCATTGTTCTCACACATACGTACAGTATTGGAATATGTATCAGAGACATTGTAGAACATACTTTTTTTAAAAAGAGTAACGAATAGAGTTTCTTGCTCGTTCTTCTCCATTTGAATCTACATTTTGGAATGAGCACCTAGCTTCACCTAGCTTCACTGACGGACTGTCTGACAGACTATTATATATTTTCTATTTTTTGACGTTTCAAAAGTACCAAATTATGGTTTCATTGAAATATGTGCTTTGACTTTGACTTTGACCTACTTTTCATGGGATAAGCCGGCAAATGAGCAGTTAGATCACCTGATTGTAAGCATTCGACAGCATGAACACCCACAACACCATAATTTAAGTGTGTAGCCGACCTGTCGTGATTTTGAGGATTAGGGGATTTGGGGATAGAGAGACAATAGAGGGAATAGGCCTTCACTAACCTCACTCACACAGCGTAACAATGCAAGCGTTGTTTCACGTTAGTTTGTACCCGCAGAGGTTATGTTATGAGTCCCATGTAATAGGAGGAATTATTTAAAACTAGCTTCTGCCAGCGGCTTCGCCCGCGATCCCAGGGGGAAAATGCCAATGTATTACATTTACATCACACCATACTCTACCTCTGTTCCGAATTTTTATTATAAAATGGAGTAACTTCTCCCGTTTTCCCAATATTTCCCTTCACTGCTCTGCTCCTATTGATCGTAGCGTAATGAAAAGTATACTATAACCTGCCCAAGAGTATGAAGAATAATTGTGCCAAATTTCGTTAAAATCCGTCGAGTAGTTTTTGTTTCCATAACGAACATACAGACAGACAGACAGACAGACAAAAATTTTACTGATTGCATTTTTGGCATCTGTAGCGATCCCTAACCACCCCTTGATAGTTATTTTTTAAATATATTTTATGTACAGAATTGACCTCCCTACAGATTTATTATAAGTATAGATTAGAATTCTTTTTCAGACAAAGATCACACAATTCGTATACACGATTTCCAAGCACCAACGATTTATATAGAGGTCGTTGAAGAAAATCAGCCACTAAGCATATATTTTGATGATTTTTCAGTGACCCATGGGTGGTAAGCAAAATAGTATTTTTAAATAACATAACATAGGCAGAGTTGCATTTACAGCACTTAAGTCACTGTACAACGTAACACCCACTTTTCTCTATTTATGTTATGAGTCCCATGTGATAGGAGGTGAGCCTATTGCCATATATACCGGGCACAATTCCAGACTCCGTGCTATCACTGAGATTTTTTTTAAAAATCCTTTTTAGTCACTAACCTTTGATTGCAGCGCTATCATTGTGTGCTCCAAAATAAAACTGCAATGGATACTTTAGTTTAGTTTCGCAAGAGACAGTGATGATTTCTCCAACTATATATTTGAATGGCGGGTAGTCAAAATGTGAACCATTCCTTCTTACATAGCGTTCCAACAATCCGTTCACAGTTACTATAAATACATTGTCTTGATTATCTAGAAACAGAAATTATAAAGACATTTAGTACTCCTCTCGCCTGCGGTACAGGATTGTCCTACTGCACGTATATAACATTGTGAGGACACTGGACAATTGTACGTATTTACGATATTATGTTTTTGTATTTCGCATTTTTTGAATTATGAATAAAATTTATTATTTATTTATTCTACATGCAGACAGTCGCCTGGACAGTCAACCTCGTTACATCCTTGTTGACTGGACATCTACACTACATGACCTGCTGTTTACATGTGAACATTAGCTCATGACGATACCTAAGTACGTGTGTCGCCTGGACAGTCAACCTCGCTGCATCCTTGTTGACTGGACATCTACACTACATGAGCTGCTGTTTACATGTCAACGCTAACTCATGACGATACCTTGTAAATAGATTATACAATGCTAGTTTTCGCCCGCGGCTTTACATTTAAATATACACATAAATATTCTTCTTGAATCATTCCATCTATTCAAAAAACCGCATCAAAATATAATGCGTAGTTTTAAAGATTTAAACATAGATAGGGACAGACAATGGATGATACCTGGGTTGTATTCCAATTCTTTTTTATAAAAATAAATTCTGTATCGGTATTGTCGACGTGGTCTAGTAGTGTGAGCAATGCAATCTATATGAAACTTTTCTTGTTTCGAAGTTAGTCTAGTTCGGAGCAATAGGCTGGTATCACGTTCTTGTGGTATTTCGAATATCTTTTCCCCTGTAACCAAAAGCATTATTAAAGTTAGCCCAATTTTCATTGTTGTTATAAGTGTACCTAACTACATACGTATGTATACTTTTTTTTTAAGGGGGGAAAATCATCGAATGACTGCTCCCGCCTGGGTGAGGCGGGAGGGAGTGTCAGACTCTTACTGACTAAAAACCACCCCGTTCCTTCTCCTGCACGTCGAGTCGGAGCCCCGGTTACCCGTTAGGTTCTCCGCGAC